TGTTTTAAAACTTGGGAAGGTTTTTAAAGTATTTAGCAGCTTTATATATTAATTGTCTCTTGTGGATGAATTATATTTGGAGCATTGGCTGAGAAAGTCCACTATATTATAAGAAATTTGCGCTCTCTGTAAACTTTTTTTTTAATATGCAAAAATCACCCAGATCAGAGCAGGGGTTCAGAAAATTCCTGGAAGTCCTTTTTGACCGACCGCACGGCTTCATGCCCAAAACAGTTCCAGAGAATTAAGCTGTGTGGCCGGTCTATTTTAAATGGTCGAAGTACCGTTCGAATCACCGAACTGAATGGTGAATGACCATAGTCTATGTGTGTCTCTTGTTTGTGGGCTTCGACTCACCAAACACGTTTGACTCACATTTGAATTGTCGAAGTTCCCTGGAAGGTAACTTTTCAGCGATGTTCGTGCCGTCGTGTGTCCGATTTGAGTTCCATGAACTCAATGACAAAACACAGCTGAACACGGTCTACTAAATAAGATGGCCCCAGCCACGTGTTCGAAAGTCGAATGGCGGCCACCTCGACTACTTCGCCTACTTTGACTGTAGTCGAAGTACCACTTCGAAAGTTCGAATCTGTTCCAGTATAAGTCCTAGAGGCAGAAACAGTGCCTTAGAACCAAATAAGTCACAGGGGCCATAATCACAAAGTAAAATGCTAGCAAGTAGTCCTCTCCAAGGCCCAGTGGTGAAGTGGTTTTCGTCACACATTTGTTCCCTTAAAGAACCACTAAAGTAAACGTCATCTCAAGCCTGGCCTGGGTGCTGTGATCCAGTCTTTTGTAACCCTGTCATACTGACAGCCACTGAAGGTGGTAAAACGCCGTCACATGATGCAGAACCCCCATATAAAAGCATTGATTCGGTGCTCTCCTACGGACTAGGGTCCCCACTGCTCCTCTATGTGGAGAATTGGATTGGACGCGGCCATGCCTCTAACTTGACATTGCAGGAGGTAGAAAGGTTGGCAGCAGCATTGAAGCTTGGCACTGGCACAGGGTATGTAAAATCATTAATTTTATTATTTTAACACAAACGTGGGCGGAGGGAGGTCTGTTTTTTTAAATAGGTTTGCATTTCTGATGCTTTTTTGTTCCTTTCATGATCTTAACGTGGAATGCAGCACAATTACAAAGTAGATGATGTCAGAATTTTTAAATTCTAACTATGACTAATGTACGTTACTATTTCAGGGTTAATGTCTCTGTGCCGCTGTGTACAAGTTGTAGGGACAGAATTCCCATTACAGATTATCAAATGTATTTTCCCATGCAATGCATCTGGTAAATTAACATTTAACCGCCTTTTGAAAAATCTGCATACTCCCAATGAAAGTAACAGAGCTGCTTAAAACTGCTTAATTTGGATCCTGCGATAGTCCCTCCAGCAGCACCTCAGCCAGATACAAGACACGTGGAGATATGGTCGTTTAAGTGTTTCCAGTCTGTGAGATTCTGTAATTAGGCAAATCCTAATTGTCAGAACCAGCGCTGACATGCTGACATTGGGTAATAAATTATATAGTTTGATGAAATAATGATTTAAATAAAGGGGGATTTTGCTGATCAGTTTTGTCGGACAATGTGTTTAAATCTCTCTAATGTGAGAAATAGTACCCCTCTCCCGCCAGACGGTAATCTGTGGTTCATTGCAAGTCAGTGGGGAGGAATAGAACCTGGAATGTCACCCTGCTCTCACCCCTCTGTATAGACGCCAAAATATACAATGTGCTTCCAAATCTCAATATTTGTGCTACTCTATGGAAAAAGCCTTCTGTCTTTGCATCAGTTTAATGACTCCACTTTCACACAGCAAAATATCATCTTAACCCTTCACTGAATCCACAACCCTCACTGCCAGAAGGCCACAAATTATCACAATGCGATGCTTGAGCTTGTGGTCTCATTCTGTACAGAGATATGACCAGCCTGAGAACCTGCTGTTTACAGAGACCATAACCCATACCTCCCAGGTGTCCCTATTTAGGAGGGACAGTCCCTATTTTGGGCCTATATCCCTCTGTCCCTCTTTTCTCTCCTAATGTCCCTTTTTTCTAGGAGCGCCATATATTGGTAAACCTGAGTGTCTAACATAGCTCCACAGCAGTAATACTCCCAGTAATATGTCTGAGTATATAACAGAGCTCCACAGCAATAATACTCCCAGTAATGTGTCTGAGTGTATAACAGAGCCCCACAGCAATAATACTCCCAGTAATGTGTCTGAGTGTATAACAGAGCTCCACAGCAATAATACTACCAGTAATGTGTCTGAGTATATAACAGAGCTCCACAGCAATAATACTCCCAGTAATGTGTCTGAGTGTATAACAGAGCTCCACAGCAATAATACTCCCAGTAATGTGTCTGAGTGTATAACAGAGCTCCACAGCAATAATACTCCCAGTAATGTGTCTGAGTGTATAACAGAGCTCCACAGCAGTAATACTCCCAGTAATATGTCTGAGTATATAACAGAGCTCCACAGTAATAATACTCCCAGTAATGTGTCTGAGTGTATAACAGAGCTCCACAGCAATAATACTCCCTTTAATATGTCTGAGTATATAACAGAGCTCCACAGCAATAATACTCCCAGTAATGTGGCTGAGTGTATAACAGAGCTCCACAGCAATAATACTCCCAGTAATGTGTCTGAGCGTATAACAGAGCTCCACAGCAATAATACTCCCAGTATTGTGTCTGAGTGTATAACAGAGCCCCACAGCAATAATACTCCCAGTAATGTATCTGAGTGTATAACAGAGCTCCACAGTAATAATACTCCCAGTAATGTGTCTGAGTGTATAACAGAGCTCCACAGCAATAATACTCCCAGTAATGTGTCTGAGTGTATAACAGAGCTCCACAGCAATAATACTCCTAGTAATGTGTCTGAGTGTATAACATCGCTCCACAGTAATAATACTTCCAGTAATGTCTCAGTGTATAACAGAGCTCCACAGCAATAATACTCCCAGTAATGTGTCTGATTGTATAACAGAGCTCCACAGCAATAATACTCCCAGTAATGTGTCTGATTGTATAACAGAGCTCCGCAACAGTAATACTCCCAGTAATATGTCTGAGTGTATAACAGAGCTCCACAGCAATAATACTCCCAGTAATGTGTCTGAGTGTATAACAGAGCTCCACAGCAATAATACTCCCAGCAATGTGTCTAAGTGTATAACAGAGCTCCACAGCAATAATACTCCCAGTAATGTGTCTGAGTGAATAACAGAGCTCCACAGCAATAATACTCCCAGTAATGTGTCTGAGTGTATAACAGAGCTCCACAGCAATAATACTCCCAGTAATGTGTCTGAGTGTATAACAGAGCTCCACAGCAATAATACTCCCAGTAATGTCTGAGTGTATAACAGAGCTCCACAGCAATAATACTCCCAGTAATGTGTCTGAGTGTATAACAGAGCTCCACAGCAATAATACTCCCAGTAATGTGTCTGAGTGTATAACAGAGCTCCACAGCAATAATACTCCCAGTAATGCGTCTGAGTGTATAACTGAGCTCCACAGCAATAATACTCCCAGTAATGCGTCTGAGTGTATAACTGAGCTCCACAGCAATAATACTCCCAGTAATGGGTCTGATTGTATAACAGAGCTCCACAGCAATAATACTCCCAGTAATGTGTCTGAGTGTATAACCGAGCTCCACAGCAATAATACTCCCAGTAATGTCTCAGTGTATAACAGAGCTCCACAGCAATAATACTCCCAGTAATGTGTCTGATTGTATAACAGAGCTCCACAGCAATAATACTCCCAGTAATGTCTCAGTGTATAACAGAGCTCCACAGCAATAATACTCCCAGTAATGTGTCTGATTGTATAACAGAGCTCCGCAACAGTAATACTCCCAGTAATATGTCTGAGTGTATAACAGAGCTCCACAGCAATAATACTCCCAGTAATGTGTCTGAGTGTATAACAGAGCTCCATAGCAATAATACTCCCAGTAATGTGTCTGAGTGTATAACAGAGCTCCACAGCAATAATACTCCCAGTAATGTGTCTTTAAACTACAATAAATGTGTTTAGAAATCAGTCTGTGTAAATAAGATACATTGTTCTTGTAAATTATTAGTAAGTCACCTCAAATTTCTCAGAACAGCCCCAGCCTGGTCACACTGCACTCATACTCCTAAAATTAAAGTGTATATATTACGAGCGATCAACCTGATGGGTGGGTAGATGTTACGGGTGCTCTGCCTGATGGGTTAGTAAATGTTACGGGTGCTCTGCCTGATGGGTGAATAGATGTTACTGGTGATCTGCCTGACGGTTTAGTAGATATTAGGGGTGATCCGCCTGATGGGTCAGTAGGTATTATTGATGATTCACCTGATGGGTGAGTAGATATTACGGGTGATCCGCCTGATGGGTCAGTAGATATTATGGCCGATTCACCTGATGGGTCAGTAGATATTATTGGTGATGTTTTCCCTGATGGGTCAGTATATATTATTGGTGATGTGCCTGATGGGTCAGTAGATATTATGGATGATTCACCTGATGGGTGAGTAGATATTACGGGTGATCCGCCTGATGGATCAGTAGATATTACAGGTGATCCGCCTGATGGGTCAGTAGATATTATGGATGATTCACCTGATGGGTGAGTAGATATTATGGGTGATCTGCCTGATGGATCAGTAGATATTACGGGTGATCCGCCTGATGGGTCAGTAGATATTACGGGTGTTCTGCTTGATGGGTCAGTAGATATTATGGACGATTCACCTGATGGGTCAGTAGATATTACGGGTGATCTGCCTGATGGGTGAGTAGATATTACGGATGATCCACCTGATGGGTCAGTAGATATTATGGATGATTCACCTGATGGGTGAGTAGATATTACGGGTGATCCGCCTGATGGGTCAGTAGATATTATGGATGATTCACCTGATGGGTGAGTAGATATTACGGGTGTTCTGCTTGATGGGTCAGTAGATATTATGGACGATTCACCTGATGGGTCAGTAGATATTACGGGTGATCTGCCTGATGGGTCAGTAGATATTACGGATGATCCACCTGATGGGTCAATAGATATTACTGATGATTCGCCTGATGGGTTAGTAGATATTATGGGTGATCCGCCTGATGGGTCAGTAGATATTATGGAAGATTCGCCTGATGGGTCAGTAGATATCATGGGTGATCTGCCTCATGGGTCAGTAGATATTATGGACGATTCACCTGATGGGTCAGTAGATATTATTGGTGATGTTTTCCCTGATGGATCAGTAGATTTTATTGGTGATGTGCCTGATGAGTCAGTAGATATTATAGATGATTCACCAGATGGGTCAGTAGATTTTATTAGTGATGTGCCTTATGGGTCAGTAGATATTATGGACAATTCACCTGATGGGTCAGTAGATATTACGGGTGATCTGCCTGATGGGTCAGTAGATATTATGGATGAGTCACCTGATGGGTCAGTAGATATTATGGATGATTCACCTGATGGGTCAGTAGATATTATGGGTGATCCGCCTGATGGGTCAGTAGATATTATGGAAGAGTCACCTGATGGGTCAGTAGATATTATTGGTGATGTTTTCCCTGATGGGTCAGTAGATTTTATTGGTGATGTGCCTGATGAGTCAGTAGATATTATAGACGATTCACCAGATGGGTCAGTAGATATTATAGACGATTCACCAGATGGGTCAGTAGATTTTATTGGTGATGTGCCTTATGGGTCAGTAGATATTATGGACAATTCACCTGATGGGTCAGTAGATATTACGGGTGCTCCGCCTGATGGATCAGTAGATATTACAGGTGATCCGCCTGATGGGTCAGTAGATATTATGGATGATTCACCTGATGGGTGAGTAGATATTATGGGTGATCTGCCTGATGGGTCAGTAGATATTACGGGTGATCCGCCTGATGGGTCAGTAGATATTACGGGTGTTCTGCTTGATGGGTCAGTAGATATTATGGACGATTCACCTGATGGGTCAGTAGATATTACGGGTGATCTGCCTGATGGGTGAGTAGATATTACGGATGATCCACCTGATGGGTCAGTAGATATTATGGATGATTCACCTGATGGGTGAGTAGATATTACGGGTGATCCGCCTGATGGGTCAGTAGATATTATGGATGATTCACCTGATGGGTGAGTAGATATTACGGGTGTTCTGCTTGATGGGTCAGTAGATATTATGGACGATTCACCTGATGGGTCAGTAGATATTACGGGTGATCTGCCTGATGGGTCAGTAGATATTACGGATGATCCACCTGATGGGTCAATAGATATTACTGATGATTCGCCTGATGGGTTAGTAGATATTACGGGTGATCCGCCTGATGGGTCAGTAGATATTATGGAAGATTCGCCTGATGGGTCAGTAGATATCATGGGTGATCTGCCTGATGGGTCAGTAGATATTATGGACGATTCACCTGATGGGTCAGTAGATATTATTGGTGATGTTTTCCCTGATGGATCAGTAGATTTTATTGGTGATGTGCCTGATGAGTCAGTAGATATTATAGATGATTCACCAGATGGGTCAGTAGATTTTATTAGTGATGTGCCTTATGGGTCAGTAGATATTATGGACAATTCACCTGATGGGTCAGTAGATATTACGGGTGATCTGCCTGATGGGTCAGTAGATACTATGGAGGATTCACCTGATGGGTCAGTAGATATTATGGATGATTCACCTGATGGGTCAGTAGATATTATGGGTGATCCGCCTGATGGGTCAGTAGATATTATGGAAGAGTCACCTGATGGGTCAGTAGATATTATTGGTGATGTTTTCCCTGATGGGTCAGTAGATTTTATTGGTGATGTGCCTGATGAGTCAGTAGATATTATAGACGATTCACCAGATGGGTCAGTAGATTTTATTGGTGATGTGCCTTATGGGTCAGTAGATATTATGGACAATTCACCTGATGGGTCAGTAGATATTACGGGTGCTCTGCCTGATGGTTGAGTAGATATTACGGGTGATCCGCCTGATGGGTCAGTAGATATTATTGGTGATTTTTCCTTGATGGGTCAGTAGATATTATGATGATTCACCTGATGGGTGAGTAGATATTACAGGTGATCCGCCTGATGGGTCAGTAGATATTATGGTGATGCGTCTGATGGGTCAGTAGTATTTATGGATGATTCACCTCATAGGTGAGTAGATATTATGGGTGATCCGCCTTATGGGTCATTAGATATTATGGAAGATCTGCCTGATGGGTCAGTAGATATCACGGGTGATCCGCCTGATGGGTCAGTAGATATTATAGACGATTCACCTGATGGGTCAGTAGATATTATTGGTGATGTTTTTCCTGATGGGCCAGTAGATATTACGGGTGATCTAGAAGGGTCAGAATAGGATCAGCACTAAGGTGCCACAAGAAAATAATTAACTAATTGTGTGTATATGGAACAGGCAGCACACCTAAGAAAAGGGTTCCCTCTAGTCCCCTATAAATAAGTAAAAACAAAACAAAAGGAAAAAGGTGCGCTTTACAAATAATAATATAGATAATATAGACAGGTGGATAATAAGATATTGTCCAAATGACTTAACACTAGTCCAATGTAGTATAATCCACAGTAGTAGGGAAAATTCTTGTAGAGCAGCAAATTTGGTAATTACAGACACAAAGATAAAGCACCGCGCTTACAGCAGCAGTGGCTTAGTATCCAACAGCTTAAAATACATAGTAAAAACAAAGAAAAACGTTACCTGCGCTCTGGCCTAGATCCCCATGTGCATTTGAACAAAAATGGAGGCTCTTTAGTTTTATTCCAATGGCCATTTGAATATGTAAGCTCACCAGCCACGTCAAGGCATGCCTCAATAGGTGAGTTCCTACACTAGCCATTAGATACGCTGATATCAGCCAAGAGTCTCCAATAAGACAGGAAGGGGTATTTTATAAACCCTTTAACATTTAACCCTTTATAGGGCTTCTGCACATACAATACACTTTGCTGATATCAGACAAAGTGAGACAGAAAGGGGTGTTTTATAAACCCTTTAACATTTAACCCTTTATAGGGCTTCTACACATTCAATAAACTTTGCTGGTATCAGACAAAGTATAAACGTCTCTAATGAGACATGAAAGGGTGTTTTATAAACCCCTACATACTTTACCCTAAATAGGGCTATAACATACAAATCACCTTGCTGGTATCAGCTAAAAGGCAAATTTCTCTGATGAGACAGGAAGGGGTGCTGCCCCTACATACTTATAAAGTCTTAATAAGACAAACGTGGGAAGGCTGGCAGCAATGTAACATAGCTGAGTGATACAAAATTCATATACAGACACAAAGATAAAGCACCGCGCTTACAGCAGCAGTGGCTTAGTATCCAACAGCTTAAAATACATAGTAAAAACAAAGAAAAACGTTACCTGCGCTCTGGCCTAGATCCCCATGTGTATTTGAACAAAAATGGAGGCTCTTTAGTTCTATTCTAAATGGCCATTTGAATATTGTATGTGCAGAAGCCCTATAAAGGGTTAAATGTGAAAGGGTTTATAAAATACCCCTTCCTGTCTTATTGGAGACTCTTGGCTGATATCAGCGTATCTAATGGCTAGTGTAGGAACTCACCTATTGAGGCTTGCCTTGACGTGGCTGGTGAGCTTACATATTCAAATGGCCATTTAGAATAGAACTAAAGAGCCTCCATTTTTGTTCAAATGCACATGGAAATTTGGTAATTAGTCATGGGTGTAGGCTTGTAATTCAGTAGAACATATGGGAAAGAAACAGAAAGATGGAAATCCAATGGTGCAGTAGGTAGATAAACTTGGATATTGGAATAATAGTAATAAGGTACTAATCACAATTTCCAGAGCTAAAATCCAGCTCTGGTATGGAATGCGTAAAGTGGAGTAATCCCCACTCAAGGATATATGGAGTGTAACCAGTTGAGGAATGTATGTAGTAATGCAGTAGTCTAACAGCGGTGTGGTTCCAAAAGTAAAAAGAATAAAATATAGTGCTCACTGTATCTTGCTATAATAGAAGGATAAAAGTATGAAATGTACTCATGTTCCACTTTTTGGAGGTTTGGTTGTTGTCTAATCTGTAGACAGTTCTCTACCTTGCGGCAGGAGATTGTGTTTTTGAAGTCTGAGATTTGTAAATTATCTGGTAAACAAACTCAGACTGGAACTGCTGCAGACACATACTAAGAATGGCAGATGGATTACTGTAGGATCTGGTAGACTTAGAGTTGTGGATAAAAGGCATATTGCACAGTCTGTTGCTCTACATAATTCATTTTCTGCACTTTCAGAGTGTAATGGTGTTATGGAGACAGGCACTGAGTGTAGTGGTGTTGTGGAGAGAGGCACTGAGGGTAGTGCTGTTGTGGAGAGAGGCACTGAGGGTAGTGGTGTTGTGGAGACAGGCTCAGGCACTTAGGCTAGTGGTGTTATGGAGACAGGCTCAGGTACTGAGGGTAGTGGTGTTGTGGAGACAGGCTTGGTGACTATGGCGAGGCCTAATAGAAAGCAGTTGTTGTTGGGGGATTCCATCATAAGAGGTGTGGAGATGGACAATGGTGGTCTTGTGAGATGTCTTCCCGGAGCTACTGCTCACAGAGACAGGAGACGTATTTGTAATATTGTTAAGCGAGCAAAGCAGGAAGGGGAATTGGATGTACTTGTCCATCTAGGGACAAATGACTTGGCTTGCAATGAGGTTTCAGAGGTTAAGGAAGTTTTTAGTGTTTTTGCCAATGATATACGGCAGGTTGCTTCCACACTGTCATTCTCTGAAGTTCTGCCTGTGCATAACACTCAGAACGACAGGCGGATGCGTATTAGGGACTTTAATTTGTGGCTTGGTGAATGGTGTCGGGAGCAAGGATTTGGCTTTATTTCTCATGGTAGCTCTGTTTGGAATGGAAATAAACTGTACAAAAAGATGGTTTGCATCTTTCTCAAAAGGGAACAAATGTTCTCAGTGAGCAGTTCAGAGGTTTTGCTAGGATGTATTTAAACTAGGAGGGGGGGGCAAAAGGGTGATAAAACATCAATCCAATTGTCCCCAAAACAAGGACAGAAGGTGCCTGTAGCAAGTGTGTTAAAAAATGATAAGCTTAGAGTCATGTCTACAAATGCTCGCAGTTTAGGGAATAAGATCCATGAACTTGTGGCAATAATGGCAACTGATAGTGTAGATTTAGTCGCTGTTACTGAGACATGGTATAATGAGAAAAATGACTGGGACCAGTGCATGCACTGGCAGGTGGGGGGGGGGGGGGGGGGGGCGGCCCGCCCCAGGTGCCAGCAGGGTGAGGGGTGCCATGACCAGGAGCGCCGGCCCCCCCATGCTGCAGCCGCCCGAGCGCTCTGTAGAGAGCCTCGGGCGACTGCAGCTTTGCCCGGGCGGTGCGTCCATGAGGGCGGACCGCACCGCCCGGGCGCAGCCTGAGGAGAGGGGCTGACAGGAGGGAAGCGCTCAGCGCTCCCTCCTGTCAGCTTCCTCTGCTGTAGCGTGGCCGAGCCCGGCAGCACGGTCCGACGGGTACAGAGAGCAGCTGTCTCCTGTACCTGGCCGGACTAACAGGAAGTGTACACTGAGTGTTCACTTC